GTGTTTAGAATATAGTAGTTGAATCTAGGTATTATAATAGTGTTGATTATGTAGATGCATTGCTTATCAGTAATTTTTTTCTTTTTGATAAGTGTGAGTGCTTGATTGATTTTATTGGTGATGATTTTATAAATAGACGTGTGATTTTTGTAAGTGGTAAAATAATATCCCAAAAATCTAAAAGTGTTTTTAGACTTAATAGGAGTTAGAGTAGCATTGTTGAAGTATATAGGAGGCTTATTAGGAGAGTTGTTGTTAGTGCATAAGAAGGATTTTGTAGGATTGACATTGATTTTTATGAGTTTATAAAAGGATGATACTGTGTTGATAATTTGTTGAAGTTAGGGTTGTGTGTGTGCTATCAAGAGTGTATCATCCATGTATGCTAATACTAGAGTATTAAAGAAAGTGATTTTGCTAGAAGAAGGAGTTGGGTTAGTAGCTGTAGAGAGCAAGTAGTCTTTGTAGGTATTAGAGATAGTAGAGAGAAGTGAGTTATAGTATATGCGCTATAGTATGGGAGTGATTGTTTTGCCCTGATTGATGCTGTCTTGTACAGTATACAAATCTGTATTTCTGAGGTTAGTAATAACTTGGTTTTGACATTATGAATGGATGTTGAGGATAATTTGTTGTATTGTTTTTGGGACCTTGATTCTATTAAGGACTTTTATTAGTAGTGGGATATTGACTGTATTATAGGCTTTACTCATATCTTGTGATAGAGTCTAGATCTCTTTATTTTGTGAGGAGATATCTTCTAAGATATGTTGTAGTATTTGGATAGATGTAGTAGTAGTCGAATGTGATAGGGTAACATAGTTGTGTGAGTTTAAAATAGAGTATTGGTTAAGTATAGTGTTTATATGGTTAGTAATAATTTTAGTGTAGATTTTCCATGTATGTTTAATAAGAGTGATTGGGTGAGTATAGTTTAGTTCTTCTATGAATATTAGTTTCTTGGATATAGGGAAGATGTTGCTTTGTTTCCAATTCTTAGGTATCTTTTGTATGATGAGGCACTTATTAAATAGTAGTAAGAGTAATTATGGAAGGTATTGCTAGCTTTTTTGATCATTTCATTAAATATTAGTATGAGGCTAGATATTTTATTGCATGAAGAGTTGTTAATAGTAATAAGTAGTTCATGAGGAGTGATGGGATCATCTAGGTTCTGATACTAGGATTGTTGGATATATAGTTTGAGCTAGTATTCTTGTTACCAGTTAGGCTATTCTAATAGATCGAAAGGGTTATATTTTGTCCATTGTTCATAGTGAGCTCTGATCTGTTATTTGATTTGTGTGAGTTTATATATTAGTTCTGATGCAGTGCAGATATTATAGAAAATTGCAGGTTCGTAGTATCATTCAAGAATACTGTTGATCATTAAAATAGTATTGTTAGTAAAGTCATTATATCTTTTGGTTATTTATAGTTGGATCTGTTCATTTTGTGCAGTAGTATTCTCAATATTTTGTGCAGTATAGATTGTTTTCCAGTATACTTTGAGGTTTTGTATGAGGTGAGTTATATTTGAAAACGATAGTTGGTGTGATAGGATCAGAGGGATTTCAAGATCAGTGTTGTGATTAATTTGAGTAATTTTGGAGTTGAGGTTTGGTATTGTGTTTGTAATAGCTAGATCTTCTGGTATTTCTTTGAGATTAGTTAGAGTTTGTATGATATTGTTGATATTGTTGAGGGTACTGTGAAGTTTAGTTGCAGCAGGAGAGAAGGTTTTGTAGGTTTTGTTAGTTCAGTAAGAGAAGAATATATTTTTATTTGCTGATGTGAGTATAGCTGATTAGAGAATATACCATAGTTTGTCAATTGATATATTGGTGTCTGTAATGGTATCCATTTGTTGAGTAAGGTAGGATGTAATTGCTGTTTAGAAGTTGTCCCACTTTTCAGTATTTATAGCTTTGTAACTGTAAATTTTGTAGTGTGATTGTTTGATGAGTCTTGAGGATTTGTATATTGGGTTGAAAAGCTAGTAGATTTCTATTATATGATGGTCACTATGTATAATAAGTTCAGGATTGTGGAGTGTTAGAGTGCTAAACATGTAGATTAGTTGTCTGAGAATCCATATTTTATCTATTTGGCTACTTAAGTTAGCTCTCTACCAGGTAGGTATATGTAGGAGAAGATAGTTAATAGTAGAAATGAAGTTGCTATTAATAAGATATTTAGAGAGGTTAAATGGAAGATTCTAGCTAAAGTCATGATTAAAGTCTCCAGTGATGATTGAGTATATCTGTTTGATTTGTGCTTGTTTAATCTAGTCTATGATTTGTTGTTATGTATTGAGTCTGAGTTGTACATGATTAGATAGTAGATACATTGAGATAAATCTAATTCAGTTTTTGTGTGGAAAGTAGAAGTTAATAGCGATAGCAGTGCTAGATAGAGTTTGGATATTGTGAATATAAGGTCTTAAGTGGGAACGGATCATAATTGTAGTGCCTAGACTAGATTGTTATGCACAGGTGGAGCTAGGTAGATTGTTGTTAGATATATAGAAGAGATAAGCAGAGTTAGATAGTAAGATATTATGCTAGGAGTTTTCTGATAGCTTGGTTTCAGTGATGCTAATTATGTTATAGTTGTTGTTGTAGCAGTATTCTGTCCATAGTTGTTGCTTAGTGATAGTATTAAATCCTTGTATATTATGTGTAGCTATTTTGAAAGAGTAGAGTGTAGTTAACCTTTGGAGTGTAGTAGTATAAGTACTTGTAGGTAGAGAGAAAGTAGTATTAGTTAGATTATTAAAGATATTGAAGGATGGTATGGGGTTGTTTGTATCAGTTGTTTGTTGTTGGTGTGTCTTCATGTTTTGGGTTAGATGAAAAGGTCTTACATAGAGTTAGGTAGAGGTAGTAGGTTTAGAAGATAGTCAGATATTTAGTTGATGATATAGTTTTGTCATAGAATTTGTAAGATTGATTTCTTTTTGTATTGTAATAGGAATGTTAATGTTAATTTGTTTTGTATTTAGTTGGTTTTGTAATTCTTCTAGAGATGTAGGGATATCTGGTAGAGTTTTAGTCTTTTTATCAGTTGTAGCTAGGTTTTTCTCTTTAGTATTTGTAGATTGTTAATCCATTGGTCTAGGATTTTGTTGAAGTAGTAGTGAGTATGGAAGGTTTTTACTGTGTCAATTAGTTGTTGTTGTGATGTGATTGAGAATGGGATACTATAATTAATAGTAATAGATATTCTGTTAGAAAGTAGTAGTTTGTTAGTTGGGTTAGCAGTCATTATATATATTGGAATTGGAAATATGATCTTATATCTTTTTGATACTTGTTAGAAGAATTCCTTTGCTATATCATCTTCAGTGATAGGGTATATAAAGTTAGTATCTGTTTAGATTTTGGTTGGATATTGTAGTAGAGTTGGTTTAGTAATAAAGTAGTTATTGCATATTATTTTGAATATGTAATATTTGTATAGACGGTTTGAGTTGTAGAAGTTTTGAAGTTTGTTATGATAAAAGGAGAGGTAGTTGAGGTTTTTTCGTTTTGTAATTGGGAAGAAGTTTTTTAGTTCCTCAGTAAGGTCCGTAGGGTTGCTAGGGAGTGGAAGTAGTTTGATGAAGTAGCTGCTAAGTATTTATAGAAAAGAGTAAATTTTTCTAAGTGCTATAACCATTCCCTTAGTATTGTTATAGTTAGTGATTGGAAGTTCAAAAAGGAGTAATCTTTGTATTTGTTCTATTATTAAGGAAGGATCTTCTGGTAATAGAACAAGTAGAGATAGTTGGGCTTTGTTGATTACTTGTTTAAGTTCATTCTATTTAATTTTGTCTAGTCGTATAAATCCTCTGTAGTATTGAATAATTTTAGCTATATGGAAGAGACTTAAGTGTGTAAGGTTAGTGTTAAGCAAGTATTGAGTAGCTATATGGATTTTAAGCATTTTTAGGATGGTATTTCTAGTTTTTCGATTAAGAATTGTGATGTTGTAAATATGTTTGTAGTTATTAGTTGCTGTTGTAAGTATTTCTTCGAATTGTATCTAGTGCGCAAGAGTAGTCTGTTTATTGCAGGTAAAGGAGATAAAATATTGAGTATCGAAGTATTTAAATTTTAGTATTATAGCTCATAGAATATTGTGTGAGATAGGTTTGGTTTGTAGTTTGTAAGTGATGAATTATTGAATGCCTTCTGTAGATTTGAGTATATTGATAATACAGTCGTAATACCAAGTAGATATGTTGAAGCTATCAAGTTCAGAGTTTATATTATCTATAAGTTTGTCTAGCTATATTTCACTAATATTTTAGCTATCATTAAAGAAATTTGTGTTTAGAGAAGAATTGTTTTAGAGCACTTAGCTATAGAAGAGTTTGGTATTAGTATTTCCAGATCCTGAGCTATTCGAGTATGGGTCATGTGAGTATTCTTCTAGTTTATTTTCATCTATATATGTGTCGTGTATTTTGCAAGATGCAGAAGATGCTTATCAATTAGCTTATATTTTTAGAGGTATAGGCGATGTTAGTGTATTATATATAACTTCCTTCATTTGGTCTACCTATGATTGGTTTTGGTTATCTGTTGCACTATGGTCTTCTGATACTGTTTGTGTATAGGGGTTTGTGTTTTGAGTATTAGAGTTGTTAGTTGTTTCAAAGTTGTGTTTAGTTGTTGAATGAGTAGTATTCTGTTGTATATCATTAGTATCTATTGATATTGTATTACTAATTTCTGGTGAGAGTACACAGGTATTAGGCATAGTTGCATTGGAGTAGTGTTGAAATGGGCAGCAGTATCGTAGGGAATTATAGGAAGTGCAGAATTTTGTTTATGGGCATTCGTCACCAGGTAGTTAGTTTTGTTATTCTGATAGGTTTGAATAAGTAATGAAGATTGGGTGATGTTAGTTGTAATTTGTATAGCAGTGATGTTTATGGCATTGTTAGAAAGTTTTGTTAGAGTAAAGAGAAGAGCAGAGTTGCTGTTAGTAGCTTGGTCAATTTAGTATTTTAGAAACTAGAGATACTCACGATTATTTTGATAAAGAAAATCTTCTTACTCAAAAAGGTTATGTTAGTAATAATAAAGCTTTAAAGGATTCTATGATTATTCAGGAATTCAATAGAGAAATTGATGAGAAGAGAGAGAAGTTTGAAAAGGTTAATGTATATGTTGTATTATTACAACAATTTTGGAAAAGTAATAAAACATCGTATGTTGTAGCTAGGAGATATAATGGAACTCAAATTTTTCAGTTAACTTTTGATATTGGTAATGAGTTCGAAGTTTTGTTTAGAATATTAATTTCTATTTCTAAGAGAGCTGAATTTGAAGAAAAATGTATTAATCTTATTATTAAAGAAAATAAACAATTTAGATATATGATTAAATTTATGCTTTATCATTAGAAAAAAGCTGATTTTGATAAGAATAATGATATAATTGGTAAAATTGATGAATTGACAAAACCAAAAGAAGAGATTGCATATTCTTCCTTTGTTAGGGAATTAGTTAATAATATGAAAGATAAAAATATCATGTTTGATATTAAAACAGAACTTGATAAAGTAGAAAATGTAAATGAGTATTTTTCTCATTTTAAACTAGTAATTAGTCGTAAAAATAGAGAATATGATACAAATAGACAACTTTAAAGTGAGAATAAAAAAAGAAAAATATAAGATAGATATTATTTTATTTAATTTAATATTTATTATTATATTTTGAATAAAAACTCTTTCCTGTAACTCACTCCACTATACTGCGCCAAAATAGAAAAAAAAGAAAACAACAAAAACAAAGAAAACCTTTCTCTGGGAAGGACTCTAAGTAAAAGAAAACTGCTACCAACAAACAAACTAACAACTATTACTTCAAACAGCAACTTC